GAATTGCGTCAATAATACCGAGCCCGTGCTTAATAAGGTGCGTGCGCTGCAAGGGAGGGGATTGCCCAGGGAGTTGCTGGATGCAGTGTTGGAGTTGTTGCTTGCGGATGAGAGGTATGCTGGTGAAGGGAATGGGGTGGAGGATGTAGATTGAAACCTGTGCATGATATGATGAAATGTAAATGACCCCCTTTTTTTTAGTTTAGGATATAAACATATAGTTATATATATTCAATATTTCTTGATGCATTGTTTTTTTTAAAAATTCTTCGATAAGGGTACACTCATGTGACAAGTAAGTAGTCGTGCAATCCCCTTTTCACGGCCTCAGCTCAACTCCCTTAACCCCCTTCATCCCCTCCTTAAACCCATCTCTCCCCAAAATCTCCTTGACCTTCTCCAACACCGCGCCCTCCCGTCTCCTACTCACATCATCCTCCTTGACCTTCTCGCCCGCCACCAACGCACTCTCCAGTCCCTCATACTCCCAAATATTCGCCTTCATGCCCACCCCGTGATACTGGTGTTTCTGCAAAAACGCCAACCAAGCCTTGACCACATCCGGGTGTCCATCCTGAATCTGGATCAAGCGGCGCATCGTCACCCTCTCAAAGTTCTCTTGACTCTTCTTGAAGATGAAATTCGATCGCGGGACTACCCAGCGCTCTGTTATGCGTGGTAGCGGGATGGGACCGCGCGCGCAGAGACCCATATAGTATGCAGCGCGCACGGCGAAGTCGGAGAAGAGGAGCAGGTTGCGGATGTTGTAGGTGCGGAGTTGGAGGTCGCAGGTGGGCACGCCGTATTCGGGTGTGCGGCGAAGGGGCCTGAGGTGGACGGCGCGGACGTTGAGGGGGGTGCGGAGGGCGTCGAGGGCTTCTTGGGTTTTGGGGTCTAGTGGGGGTTGGTCGGTGGGGAGGGTGATGTCTTTTTCTCTGTTGGAACCAGAGGGTTAGTCTGTTTTTTTCTATATAATCCGGGGGTGAAGGAGGGTATGACAAAAACGTACTTTGCGAGTTTAATGGGTTCAACGCCGGCGCGCTTGTAGACTTTTAAGAGGCCAAGGTGGTCGGGTGTGTTTTGTAGTTCTTTCCATTGTCGCTGCGCTTCCTCGCGCGTCTTGGGTTCCCGTTGTTGCTGGCGCTTGTTGACTTTTTGCTGGCTGGCATATAGACTGGAGTCTTTGTTAGAACCCTCGTCCTCCTCAAATATCTCGTTATGGCAAGCCAACATACGTCTTGAATTCCTGAACATCGATACCCATATCCTCCAGCCGAGCATCAAGCGGCATATCGCCGCTCTCCAGGTCCATCTTCAGCTTCTCAATGAGCCTGACATCTCTGTCCTCTCTTGAGTCCCGCTCATTGTCCTCGTCCGCTTTCGAGCTCTTGTTCCGCGAAAAGGTCTGGACGGATGGCCGTGGGGCGTGTGAAATCTATTTTCCATTGCAAGTCAGCGGGCCAATTCGTCGCAGACAGCGCTTAACAATTCAATCAATTCATACCTTGACCCTCTTTGCTGGCCCCAGAAAAGAGCGCATACATCGTGGCGCGGCCATGGTCGCTGTCGTCGCAACTTAACCCACGTCCAGCCGTCCAACTTCTTCCTCCGACAATGGCGCTAGCTGCGATTCCGCTTATGGTCTTGGCAGTCGTCGGAATTGCCCGCCGCCTTCCTTGTGCACCCTAGTCATCGCCTCTGATAATGTCACATGTACTCCCTAGACTATTTTCCCTAGTCACAGTTGATCCATTTATCTTTTGTGTTCTAGAGACTTGCTCTCCTTGACTTCACTTTTTTTGCGACTGCTTAAGATGGAGTCCACTCAAGATGCCGCTGCTGCGCCAAACGCCTATGTCCGCGCGACAGAGACGGCCAAATACGTTCGCTCTCAACTACCCGAGACGCTCCAAAATCCAAAGGTAGCCATCGTGTGCGGTTCGGGCCTAGGTGGACTTGCCGACACCATCGAGCCAGAGCCCAAGGTCGAGTTGGCATACGGCACAATTCCACACTTTCCTAAGAGCACAGGTATGTACAAGGCGCGACCCTCAAACTTCATCATGCGGGGTGCTGACAAGTACATAGTTCAGGGCCATGCGGGCAAGTTTGTCTTTGGTCACATTGGGCCTCAGAAAACACCAGTCGCACTTTTGGTTGGACGCGCACAGTAGGTCACTACAGGGGAAGAAGAGCATTTGAACAAGTTTGATATTGACATTGGTAGTTTCTATGAAGGACACTCGATGGACTTGGTCACATTCGCTACCCGCGTGTGCAAGGTGCTTGGTGTCGAAACCATGATTGGTATGGAACGTGCGAGGCGAGAGCTAGAGTCATGGGCTAATGACGGCATGTAGTCACAAACGCAGCTGGTGGTCTCAACCAGACTTACCGCGTGGGAGACATTGTGTGTCTAAACGACGTACGTAAGTCTTTGTAAAGCTCAAGACTCACCCTAACACTATGCAGCATCTCAACATGGCTGGGCTTGTTGGATTCCATCCGCTGCGTGGCCCCAACATTGATGAGTTTGGTGTACGATTTCCACCACTATCAGATGCCTACGACCTCGATTTGAGGAGAAGAACGCACAAAGCTTGGGTCAAGCTAGGCCTTGACCAGCAACAGAGACGTCTACACGAAGGCGTATATGCATTCGTTGCAGGACCAACGTATGTTCTCAAAATATTCTTACTTGACATGTCGGCGGCGGACATGAGCTAATCCATCCAGTTACGAGACCCGCGCAGAGTGCCGGATGCTGAGCATGCTAGGGGCTGATGTCGTTGGCATGTCGACTGTGCCAGAGATCATCGTCGCCAGACATGCAGGAATGCGTATTCTGGCGTTCAGTCTAGTCACAAATGTCGCTGTCCTTGAAGCAGGCTCTTGTGGAAATGATGCCACAATTCAGAACATGAACAGGGCGCAGCTGACCGAACACCTGAGCCAAGGCAAGGCAAACCACGAAGAGGTGTTGGAGGCTGGACGGGAGGCGGCCAAGGACATGCAGGCTTTGGTCAAGCAGATCCTTTCCGACCTAGACGAGGAATAGAAGCGCGTCTTAGTCAAAGTTCCGTGGGACAAGCGAGACAGATCTGAGCTAGAAAATATCAAGCCAGACAACGCTGGTCTCGAACACCCAAAAACACAACCATGTTGACAATTACCACGTGAAGTTTCATACACGTGCTCAAGGCTTGACAATCTTGCCCTTGTTGCGCTTTGCTTTGAGGGCCTTGTAGTGGGCCTTCTTTCCGCTCGACTTGGTCGCCTGGATGTCTTGGTACTTTCGGTTGAAGCGGCCACTGTCTTGCTCCTGGGCAATGACTTCCTCGAGCATGGTCTGCCTGCGGTCCTTGTTCTTGAGACGGCTGCTGTAGAACTCGGTGGCGCCTTCAATAATGGTGCCGACTTGGGAGAACGCAGGAACATCGCCCTTGGAGTTGTCCTTTTTGTAGTGGCGCTTGGGATCGAGGACGCTGCGCATCTTGAGGAGCTGCAAGTCTCGGCGTAGCTCTGGGGTCAGGTCGGTCTTGGGCATGTTGAACCATTGTGAGCCAGCAGTTGCTTTCTTCTCCTAAACAAGCCATTAGTATTTTGTGACTGACAAGCTTGAATGCAAAAAGCGTGTAGTGAATAGATGCCTCAGTGTAACTATGAACTAATGGTGCCTCAGTAGCGCAGGAAGGCAACCAAGACGGCGCCCGAATCTGCTCAGCAAAAACATTTGGGATAGATATCATCAAAGGCGTGGGGATGCGACTGGGGTTTGGCATACCTCTTGCTTCTGCTTCTTGATTTGCAGCGGGTCCTCAATCTTCTTGATGCCGTTAGCCAAGGCCTTTTGGTTCTTGTCGACAAGCTTTGAGTGATCTAGACGAGTAATGTTGCCGTGAGTCTTTTCGTAAGTATCGGCGATATGGCCGGGCGTCAGTTTGGGAAGCTTGAATGGGGCTTCGGCCCTAGCTGCAGGCTGCGCAGCCTTTGCACGCATGCGCTCGGCAGCCTCGTTGAGCAGCTCTCGAATCTGCTCATCGGAGAGATCCTCGTCCGAGTCGTCGACAAGCGGCTGGTGCGTTGGCAGCTCCATGCTGGCGGTGACGGGGAGAGGATGGAAAATTTGGAGAACAACTTTTTGAAAAGGTCGGGCGCACGGGCCATGTCGGCAAAGCTAAGCTGCTTGCGTCAGATGCCTTGCATGGCCGCCGACGAACCATCCATGTGCTACTACTATGTATGGATGCAAGTACATAGTACGAGGCTGGTCGGGCATTTTGTGATACAAGAGGCCATCAATGGCAATGACCTGCATTGGGCGTCCTGGTGCATGGGAACGTCTGCCCCTGCTGCTCGCGTCCGCCACGTCAAGTTACGCACAAGACCGCAACCGTCGAGATCTTGGTGTGCGGTCAGCGTGGGCATATTGGCTCATGACGCGTGCGTGCATATCATGGCGCATTGAAGAGAACTGAGGACGAACAACTCATCGCTGGCATGGCCCGTTGCTCAGAGGGCCAATCAGGACACCAGGCCTCGGTCACGATGCGGCCGAGCATTGCGCCTTGAAGAGGCACAAATGTGATGGAGGCGGCAGACACACGGCGTCGCTCCTGTGCTGTCACTGCTCTAGGCATTGCGGACGGGCGCAGTGCGACATGGATAGCACGCATACATGGGTATATTAAGCGTGGTCGAGTGACAATGAGGCGAGCATCTGGCTGTGGGCGAGACGACGCTGCAGCGCGCTCGCTACGTGACAGACTCGCGCCTCGACGGCCTTCTTGGACTACGGTTAAGAGCAATCAAGTAAATCAATTACTGCTGCACCCACTCGTCGCCCTCTCCAACACTGGTCTTTGAGAAGCTGGGTAACGTCGGGGCCCTTGCTTAGCTGTGGTTCGTCGACCCGTTGGAAACCCACCAACCAACCAACCATCAACTCCGCGAAGATATACTCGGGCTGGAATTTGATTCGCCAGGCCCAAGCACAGGTCAGTCGCGTTTCTTGTTCAACGTCGAGAGTCGAGATGAGTTTGTGCAATAGAAGGAAGCTCATACACGATGCCAGGCCGCCCGCAGCATCGCCTCTCGCCCCAAAAAACAGGCATTCGCGTCTTCCCCGCGCCATCTCTCTGCACCTTTCCCGGCCACTCAGACCGTACCTTTGACGCAACCACACCCGCGCCCTCCTTCCACAACGCGCCCATACCAATCTCTTGACGACTCATTGGGCACTGCGCATACCTCTCCTGCACAGAGCCGCTCTCCTCGCCCAATTTCCCTGCGCCATCCGGTCTCCAGATACACCTGACAGACGCGCACCCAGCCCACCGTGTCGCACTTGCGCAACCCAGCCCACGCCATGGATCAAGTCAACCTCCAGGGCCACGGCCAGCAGAAGATGCGCCCGGCCACTGCTGCGCCCCGCAAGTACGACGGCCAGCAAGGCAATCCGCTCTACGACCCTGCCAATGGCGGTCACTATGGTACGTCGATGCAGCTCCAGCCGGCGCATCCCCCGTTGACCGCTTGTGCTAACACTATCCTCCAGGCGCATCCGCAGCTGTACGTCTTGTTGTGCCTTCATTGCTCCCCCGAGCTTCCCATCGCTGATATTTGGTCCAGATTGCCGCGCAAAACCAAGCTCCAGATCCACAGCTCTTCACCGGTTCCTGGCAGAATGTACGCACCCAACGCCCAAACGCCTACGGCGCCCAGAGTCTCAGTAGCTGACACTTGCAGGTGAACCAAGGCCTCACGGGAAACTACCGCGACATTCTCAACACGTACTGGCAGCAACAAGTAACGAAGCTCGAGACGGACGAACATGACTACAAGCTGCACCAGCTCCCGCTTGCTCGCATTAAGAAGGTTATGAAAGCGGATCCCGAGGTCAAGATGATCTCTGCCGAAGCGCCCATCCTATTCGCCAAGGGATGCGACATCTTCATCACGGAGCTCACAATGCGTGCGTGGATCCACGCCGAAGAGAACAAGCGTCGCACTCTGCAGCGCTCCGACATTGCCTCCGCATTATCCAAGTCGGACATGTTTGACTTTCTTATCGATATCGTCCCTCGTGAAGAGGCGCATCCACACAAGAGAAGCGCGGGCCAAAACGCGGCCGTGCAATCGTCGGCTGCAGTGGTTCCCCCCGGCGGCATGCCTCAGCCTGTGCACGCCCAGCACCCAATGGCTCCTCCCGACTACGGCATGAACCAGCACCTTGCCCAGCAAGAGGACTACCGACAGTCATCCATGTACCCAGGACCTGTGCAGGGCGACCCGAGCGTGTATGCGCAGCAGGGCATGTTTGATCCCAATGCGTATGGCCCATACGGCGCTATGGGGCAGCAGCCTCAGATGTACGCGGTTGGTCAGCGCGGGCCAGATCCCAATGCCGGCGACCCACAGGGCTTTGGCCGGTATGGCGAGGCTGACGCTGATGATGATGCTCAGGGCGAGCGCGTGGACGCAGACAACTAGTTGTTGACCCAGCCTCTGACTCTCGGTGATTAGTTGTCGCGATGCCGACACGACAGAGAGAGGTGTTGTGCGCTATTGTTAGCAGATTGATCTTGGATATGGCGTTTAGGTACGGTGTTTGGGCACACGGCCGCGGAATGGCTAGGTATCATGAAAGGCGTCATAATACAATATCACTTAATGGAAAGTCAATTAGCTTGTCGCAAACAAGTGATGCTTCTCCCGTAACAGCTTAGGCAGCGAGGCTTGTTTGCCATGACGTTAGCAGCGAGGCCCCGGTCTATTCCGGCACCTGTAGCGCGCTGGACAGGACCGAGGTCCTTGTTGGTTGAAAGACTTAACGATGCGCGGGTCTATGTCTTTGTACCTGCATTTTCTAGCGGGCTCCGTCCTATTCCGAACATCTGTGGCACCGAGGCACATCACATGCGTGACTTGTGGCTGGGAAGCAGTAAGGGAGGCATTGTGTATACAGCTTGGAGGTGGATGTTCAAGTGGTGTGTTCTGCACGACTGATGTACGCCTGAGAGAGTTCTGAACCCAGACTGCATACCCGCCTGGCGAAACCAGGGCTGTCGCGGACTTGATGCGATCTGCCCTAGAAAGCACTAGGCGTGACGGCCTTTCGGTGAGGCGCGTCCCATGCTCCGCCCGGTACCCCGCCGCTAATGGCCCGTGCTCCACCCCCACCTGCGCGAGACCAACAGAACCAGTGCATAGTCCAGCGCTCACCCTACATCAAGCCACCATTCTGCCTTTTCTTCTCTTCTCTTCTCTCACCGACTCTTCAATTGCTTTCATCAAACTTGCCCCTCCACAAAACACCCCTCTCCCTTCATCAAATCACATCAAAAATGGTCAAGGCCGTAGTAGCTGGAGCTTCCGGAGGCATCGGACAGGTACGAGCCCGCGAGCACCCAAAGGGTCCATAGACCTCCATTGCAGCACCTGCTAACCAATGTGAAATAGCCCCTCTCTCTACTCCTCAAGAACAACCAGCACGTCACTGAGCTCGCCCTCTACGATGTTGTAAACACTCCAGGTGTTGCTGCTGACCTGTCTCACATCTCGACCCCCGCGGTATGAGGTGCTCGCCCCGCATTCACATAAACACACTAAAGTTGCTTAGGTTGTAAAAGGCTACCTGCCCAAGGACGATGGTCTGAAGGGCGCCCTTACCGGTGCTGACATCGTTGTCATTCCCGCCGGTATTCCTCGTAAGTTGGATATATTCTACGGCTCGGCGAGCAAACACTGACAAAGACTCAGGCAAGCCTGGTATGACGCGCGATGATCTGTTCAAGATCAACGCCGGCATCGTCAAGGGTCTCGTCGAGGGCATTGCCCAATTCTGCCCCAAGGCTTTCGTCCTCATCATCTCCAACCCCGTAAACTCCACAGTCCCCATCGCTGCCGAGGTCCTCAAGAAGGCCGGCGTCTTCGACCCCAAGAAGCTCTTCGGTGTCACCACCCTAGACGTTGTCCGTGCCGAGACATTCGTTGCCGAGATTGTCGGCGAGAAGAACCCCGGAAACCTCAACATTCCCGTCATTGGTGGCCACTCTGGCGAGACCATTGTCCCGCTCTTCAGCCAGGCTAAGCCAAGCGTGAACATTCCAGCAGACAAGATGGAAGCCCTTGTCAAGCGTGTCCAATTCGGTGGTGATGAGGTCGTCCAGGCAAAGGATGGTGCTGGTTCAGCCACCCTTTCCATGGCCTACGCCGGATACCGGTAAGTCTTTTGTGGCTCTACTTTGAGATGACACAGCCTGACCACAGACAGATTCGCCGAAAAGGTCATCAAGGCCGCCAAGGGCGAGAAGGGCATTGTCGAGCCCAGCTATGTCTACCTCCCCGGTGTCGAGGGTGGCGACGCGATTGCGAAGGCTACTGGAACCGAGTTCTTCTCTGTACCAATCGAGCTTGGTGTAAGTAATCCAAGATGATCTTGACATGTTTCGTATCCTGTAGCTTTACTAATCTTTTGCAATAGCCCAGTGGTGCCGAGAAGGCCATCGACGTCGTCAGCAGTGCGAACGACCAAGAGAAGACTCTCCTCAAGGCCTGCTACGAGGGCCTGGGTGGCAACATCACCAAGGGTGTTGAGTTTGTCAAGACTGCTTAGTGAGTAAACTACGTTGCATTATTGATGGATCTTGAGGCTGATGGAATCGTGCAGAGTAACTATAGACCTCCGCGATGGATGATGCGAGACGAATCCAGATGAAGACATGTCTTGGAATGCCCAATGATCATATGCCACTGTGAGCAGAAGAATGAATAAATTTATGAACACCAAAAGACCCCTTGCATGATTCTGAGACGCATCAATGCTTTTGTGATGAACATGTTCTGATCAGAATAGGGTATGTCCCGCACGTTATGCCCAAGAAAGAACCCTCGCTATTCGACATGCCATGCGGGCTCGCAGTCCTTGTTGAAATGTGTCTGTAGTCACTGAGTATACCTATGGTCGACCGATTACCTATTACAGAGCCGTGAATGGATTTCCACAGAGAACCAGTACCATAGGCGAAGAATGAAAAACGAAAAGAAAGGGTGCCTGAAATTATCGTTGAGATTTCCAATGAGAACTGTTTTGGGTATATCTGGAGAATGAATTACCTATCCGAGCCCGCATAAAATGATGACTGGCTAAGCGACATCAAGGCTAACCATGGTTTGGGATATTGACATTTTGCACTGACATACGTATATAGTCGCGCACCTATCTGCCCTTCTCGTCCATCATTCATCAAACACAACTATCGACTATACCGACAAGCACGAGCACATTCAAAATGCGTTGATCTTTCCTGGACCTTCCCCCGGAGCTGAGGCTCATGATCTATAAGCACTTATCCATCACCACAAAGCACCTAGTCCTGGAACGCTCACTCAACGAGTACGGTGGTGCGTCGACCATTCGGCTAGTCGTAAAATTTGCACCCGTCGAGATCTTGAGGACCTGTCGGTTGATCTACCAAGAAGCCCATGCCTGTGTCAACAGGCTTGTGGAAAGATGCCAACGCCTGCAAGTCATTGTCGACTTGTCCATGATGAGAACCTTTTGTGGGATAGTCTGCAGCACAGAGACTGATGACGTGGGAAAGATTTTCATAATGATTATGCAAGAGTCTTGTTCACCTACGGTTCTACCTGCAGAGCAAGGCCAGCACCGAAACCGTTTTAGTTTGCCACCATCAGATCGCGTGGTATCGGCGGAATACGCAATTAAACTCCGAAACTTTATGGAGCGGAGCATCAAGTATGTAAACCACATGCTCAATATGTGCATACTAGAGATTGCCGTCACGATACCAGAACATGTCAGAATAATGGGAGGACAAACAATATATCCACTGATGGGTTTTCCATGGAGAGCAGCGCATCGGAGGCAAGAATTTCGCTTATATGCTAGGGTGGAAGGGGAACTGGATGCCACGATGGAGATCGAGTACGGCATGCTGATAAGAGAATGGAGTTGTTTTCTGCGTTATGATGGTCAAGAAGATGCGAAGGTGCTCGGTGATGTAGAATGGCAAGCGGACTGGGAAGGAATTGAGGTTCGGGAGAATTACGTAGAGGCAGAAGCGGTGTTGCATGTGATGATAGAGGAGGCTCGCAGGCAACCATCACGTCACCATGTGTCGAGCTTCCTAAGGTTGGAAAACGAAGTGAGGTCTCTAGGACTCTAGTCAGGAAACAGGATAGAAATTTTTGTATTTTATGTTCTAGATTTAATTCTAGCATTGTATGGATGGATTTACATAAGTGGTGTTGGGATATTGGCAAGACGTGCCGAGCCATGACACTAGGGACTAGCAGGACCCTTGCCGGATGATCGACGGTAGTAGTTCTGAATAGCCCACATGGAGCTCCAACGCCGACGGACCGCATTGCGCTTTGTGACTGCGATTCCCCGCCTACAGCCCGATAATTCCCCAGCACTGATCCCCCGCGACGAATAATACGACACAAAACAACTCGATATCCAAGGCCGTCTCAATTCCATCTGCAGAGCCCCTACACCAACATTATCCAACAACGCGCGCACCCCTCAGCACGGTACACTCGAGTCGACACATTACATACCCGCCCAACAGGCAAACAAACCCATATACACGCAAAAAGAACACCTTTCAAACATGGCGCAAGCCAACGCCTCCGTCCCCAGCGAAACCTCACCCCCTTACGTCGACCCCACCTTCTCGGTAGTAAACACATCATGCCTGGACCTCCTCCTCATCGAACTGGTCCCCATGGCCTACCGCATAACCGCCGACCTGGCCGCTCGAGAAGAAGAATGGATTCACGGTGCCGCCAGCGCAGCCTCACCTAGCGCGCGAGCCAAGCAGTTGGCTGGCTCCCCCGGCAACGACGCCGCGAGCACCGTAGCCGCGCGGACAGAAGGCGGAGGCCACGTTGGTGTCGCGGGGACCGTGGACGAGGAGGAGAGTAGAGAAGCCGTGTTTCACCGGTTAGAAGCACTAGGGTACAGAGTTGGTCTTGGGGTTGTGGAACGGTATTTAACATCCTTTTCCTCCTCCCCCACCATTTATCCACCCTTCCTTCTGCCCTTCTTCCACCCAATTTCCCTACTCGACCGATTGAACAAATGTAAATCACTAACGAAACACGCAGTTTCTCCCGCGACGCCCCCCGCCCCACCACCCCCCTCGATTGCATCAAATTCCTCTGCAAAGACCTCTGGACCCTCCTCTTCCGCAAGCAAATCGACAACCTCAAAACTAACCACCGCGGCATCTACGTCCTCACCGATAATACCTTCAAGCCCCTCGGCCGCATGTCCTTTGACACAAAGAAATACGACGCCAGCATGCAAGCTGCCCTCGTCGCGCAGACGGGCGACCCCGCGTTGGGGCGCGAGGCAAATTCACAGGCTAGGGTCCAGCCGTTTCTTTATTTCCCCGCGGGCTTAATTAGGGGGTGTCTTGCTGCGCTGGGGATTCAGGCTAGTGTTACGGCGGAGAGTGTGGCGTTGCCTGGGGCTACGTTTCAGATTCGGACGGTAGGGGCGAAGAGTTGAGGGTTGAAGTTAGAAAGGCGAGGGAGGGGGTTTTTTTGATTGATTGTGATGTGTTTTTAGCGGCATACACTGGCGTTGTTTTGGGATGAATGGATGAGGATGATGGGTATGAATGTGGTTTGCATGATATGTATACATATGGGGATATCCGAATACATATGTTTATCATCACGTTTGCTTTTGTACCGGCAATATAGACGGGTAAGGCAACGAGCAATGTTGTACAAGACTAAAATACAGCACAAATCATTCACCTCACTTGGTCCAAAGAGAGAGACACGGAGATGAACAATATCTCATTCCCATTTCCGATTCCACAAAAAAAAAACACAAGACGCCACCAATGCTCCAGACAAATGCACATAGTGCCTGTCCGTTTTCCCTTGACCGAGATAGACTCTAAAAGAAATGATGGAAAAAATCAAACGTTACTCGGTCCACCGGGACCCTTTGGATCAAGCAACAAATGCGGTTTCAAGAAGCCATCATCAATCTGCTTGAACGCGTTTGCAGGATCATGACTGATTTCACTGATAAGCTGCTTAACCGCACCAGTGGCAGTAGCCACTCTACCCGGTCCTTCTGGTGGTTTATGACCAGAAGTCGGGTACGGTGATACAGTCTGGGAAGCGCCTGCAAGTGGGGATGAGGAGCGGTTGGGAGAACGGCGGGCGCTCGGGGGTAAGTCGAGATCAATGTCGTCTTCGTCGTTTGAGGCACTATCTCCGGGGCTGAGGAGACCCTGATCTGCGCCGTCCCGGGTGCGGACGTGGCTAGAGTTGCGGCGTGTGGCACCGTTGGGACGGGTTCGGGGACTGCTGCGGCTGCGGGAGCCGCTAGAGTAGGAACTTTCTTGGTTGTTGACATTGTTGAGAGTGAAGGCGCCTTGGCTGGGGCGGGGTGTGTGACCATAACCTTGACCTTGCTTACGGCTATATGTGCCGCCGTTGACGACTTCAATGTCGAACTCGTCGTCGCTGTCGATTTCCTCGACGATGCCAGTGCGGATACCTAGGATTTCCAACATGCGTGCGGTGGTGCCGCCAAAGATAATGACGGTCAAGACAACGACGACAAGGACAGTTGCTCGTAGGGTATCACCGTTATTACCTGTCAGGCCTGCAGCGAGCGCAACACCGACAGCACCACGCAGACCTGCCCAGTAAATCATGGCTTGGTGAGCCCAGGGAATCTCTTCCACAAGCTCTTCTCCACGTCTACGCTGGCGGTACCGGGTCACGGAGTTGATGATTCTAGAAAGCGGGAATACGGCACACCATCGAGCTGCGCAGATACCAGCGACGGTGATGAGGATAAACAGGGGCTTATAGTCAAGCTTGTCATCGGTAAAGAGCGAGAGTCCCAGGTAGATGAAGATGAAGTTCTCCGAAATCTGCGACGTGACTTGGAAGACAAACTTGGTAGTGAGCTGTGTTCGCCTCGACATGTTGTGGTAAGCATAGTGTTTCATGCATATGCCGCAGAATAGTAGCGAGACAATGCCTGTACTTGGTCAGCGGAAATACATACTGACAAGTCTGCAGTACTTACCCGACATGTGGATGGCGTTGGACATGAAGTAGGTCAAGTATGCAGTGAGAATAATTAAACAACTCTCCGTCTTGGGGAAGCGCCTGACATAGGTGAATTTGAGCATCAGAGAGACGGCAATGCCGACTGTAACACCGATAAACAGACTGCCAAAGAAGACGCCAAAGAAAATGCCAAAGGCCTCAAACAGGCTAAGGATACCCAGCGACTCTGCGCCATCCTTGTACTTTTGTGCAGTTTCAAACAAGACGATAGCAACGGCATCATTCAAGATTGACTCGCCAAAAATGAGTGTGTACAGCTTGGGCTCTACTTTGTACGTATCGAAGATGGCAAGAATAGTCACGGGGTCCGTGGCCGAAAGAGTGGCGCCCACGGACATGGCCTCGACAAAGTTGATCTTGAAGCCATCGAGAGGGATCCTGGTCCAGAGGAAGAGAATAAGGCCGAGGACTAGAGCAGAGATGAAGGTCCCCGCAAAGGCAAAGGTGAGGATAGTGCCGATATGACGAAAGAAGTTGCCCTAGGGCTTGTTAGGACACGGCAAGGAGCAGGGGTGTGTGTGTAAGAACCCACTTGGTGCAGTTCGTAGCCGGCCGATAGGATGATGGGAGGCAGCAGCAGGTTGAAAAACATTTGGTAGTCAAAACTGACGGCATCCCGCACGGATGCTACTGCTGTCAGGCGGAGGATGAGACCAACGACCATTCCTGAAAGTGGTTAGCGGGGCATGTGGTAGCGTGCTCCGGTTACGATGTGAGCCAAGACGGGATTGCAGTGGACAGAACATGTGCAGATTTACCCCACTAATCAATCGCTGATCGAGCTTCTGCCCCAAGCTTGCAGGGCGATGGCTTGTAACCCAGTATGCGCACTACTTGGGGCTTGTCACGACGATTGCGCAAGAGTAGTAGAGGCCACGGAGGCGGGCGTGGGGCAACGTACCAGCAAAGATGGACAAGACGGTTTCATGGACGGCCTGTATTTTGCGTGTGTGCAGGATATAGCTGGTAAAGAGGGCGATTATGAGCAGGACGATGAGGATGGATAAAGCCCATGATGTGAAGATTTCCTTTTGGCCGGCCTCGGGTTCGTCTGGTGCAGGCATTAGACAGGCTTGAGGCGCGGGGAATTTGAAGAGGGCATGGGTAACTGACCATCCGGGTCTGCGTCGGTCGTGTCTCGCTCTGTAGCAAAAAATAGGTCAGTGGTGATCTGGGCGACATGGTGTGTCATGGCATAGGCTTCGAGGGCGCATACTGAGGAGCTGGCCGACGGCCCACCAGCCCATTATGGAAGCCATGCTGGGCTCAAGGCGGCGCTTTCATGGGCCGGATTGCGTCGCGTTGCTGATGAGTCGAAGGAGCAGGGCGCGTGTGATGGACGGCACAGGTGGGTGGTGTTGGGCGCGGGTCTTGGATGAAAGGCCACGGGCGCGCCAGATGACAGAGGGCGGATGGCGCGAGTGGGCAGGCAGTGGCAGTGGCAGTGAGAGTGGCTGGGCAGGGCAGAGCAGAGCAGGGCAGCGAGGGTGTGAGGGCGAGCGTGATCAATTCACCGTGACGTGTCTGTGTGTATGTGTGCGTATGTAGGATGTGTGCAGCGTGCATGTATGTAGGTATGTGTTCTCTGGGAGTTGCTGCCTCGCCCTCTGCGCCGCCCCCAGCAAAGCTGCCCAGGTGTCTGTTCGTCGTCCCATGTCCCGGCACACGGCCCTCCCGCCCTAGCGCCACATTGGGACTAGCGCACTAGCAAGGGTCTGAGGAACTGCTCGCTCATGGCCCAACGTCATCCTACATGCTTCCCGCACACACTCTGCCTGCATGACATCGACTTTGAATCGCCCTGCTGAGCGCAAAAGACACCCAACCACCACACACACCCACGCTTGCACGCGCATGCACTCGCGCGCACATGACCTACACCGCTCTCCTCAGCGCCTGGTGACGTTCCCCTGCTGATTCGACTCGCCGTCCTTCGCCTCCCCGCCACTGCCGCCTCCAGCTGCAGTGCGGCTCGTCATTTGCGTAGCCCTTTATTCTTGCTGAGCACGCCGCCAGCCGTTTTGCGCCCCAGCGGAACCGCTAGCTTCTCTTTCACTGTGCTGCATATCTTGGCCCCTCCGCCGTGACTTTTGCCTGCAACAGCCCTGTCTCTCACCACATCACTCCACCCTCCCTCGAGACTGCTGCCCGCCGCCCGCCGCCCGCTGCCAACTGACCCTGGCAGCAAGCCTACCAATCACAGTCTCGCCGACCCTGACCACCTACAGCAATCTATCTCCAGGCCTGACCACGTCGCCGCCTGCACAGCAACCCGATCGCGTGTTGTCCCCACGTCCACTGCCACATCATGTCTTCGACGCCTCTGTCTCGTGGCCGAGATGACTCGGCCCCAGGGCCCCTTTCCCCGCCTCTATCTAGACTCGACACTTCCTCTCCTCGTCCCAAACCACGACCCAAACTCGTCTCTTTTGCCCGCGACTCTCCCCTGGGCGGCCGCCCCGACACTGACGGAGACGCTGAGATAGAATTCATTCACCACGCAGACCATCCGCCCCGCATGTCTTCCGAAGTCGACCCGCTCCTTAAGGAGGCCATGTCGCCCAACAGCGAAGACGACAGCTGGTTGGGTGAATCACAAGTCGAGGAGACAAAGTCAAGCTGGTTCCTCTTCCTACTTACTTTCGGCGGCCTCGGCTTGCAAATTGGTTGGTCTGTAGAAACTTCAAACGGCTCGGTAAGTGCTTTTTCCACCTGCCTCCTTCAAAAAAATTCACTGGCACGCTATGGACCCTGCGTCCAGATCGGCGTCCTGCCACTTGTGTTTTCTGCGGTGGCGAGGCTGCGGCTAACGTTGTCAACAGCCCTATCTTCTGTCGCTCGGTCTGAGCAAGTCGATGCTTGCCCTCGTCTGGATTGCCGGTCCTCTCTCTGGTGTACTCGTCCAGCCCTACGTCGGTCTCAAGAGCGACAATTGCCGTTTGCGATGGGGAAAGCGGAGACCTTTCATTGTCGGCGGTGCTGCCGCAACCATCTTGTCGCTCATGGTTCTCGCTTGGGCTAAAGAGATCATGGGCGGTTTCTTGGGCATCTTTGGAGCAGACCCAGAGTCCACCTTTGTCAAGACAAGTATCATGCTTTTCGCCGTCTTCTTCGTATATGTGCTGGATTTTGCTATCAACGTCATCCAAGCCGGCGTGCGAGCATATATTGTCGATGTTGCACCCACGCACCAGCAAGAATCTGCCAATGCATGGCTGATGAGGTCGGCGGGTATTGGCAACATCTTGGGCTACCTTGCCGGCTACATCAACTTGCCAGACTATCTCCCATGGCTCGGTAACACCCAGTTCAAGGTCCTTTGCGCCATTGCATCCTTTGTCATGGCTCTCACTGTCGGCGTCAGTTGCTCCGCATGCGCCGAACGTGACCCACAGTTCGATACCG